CTTTTTCTTGCTTGAGGAAGAGCAGTGAATGCTCCACTTCTTTTTGTGGAAATCGAGTTAATATTATTGCTTTAGCCTAAACCTGTTTCATATATACATTTGAGGAAATGGTGGTTCACTAATCAAAAGTATGCTTTTTGGTGGTCCCATTACTGAAGAAATAATGGGTTGATTGATTTAAATTTTAATCAGTCGTTTAAATATAGTTTGTCTTTCTGAACATGTGACTTTCTGAACAAGTGATTTAAACTCCGAATAAAAGAAGATTTCCATTTTATTTTTTTTACCAACGATTTTTTTTGCCTATTTAATTTTTATTCATTTGTAGAAATGGTAGATGCCATGAAGAAGGTAGCAAAGCTTGATGTTGAATTGACAGTTGAGGAGCGGAATTTGCTGTCAGTTGGGTAAAAGAATGTGATTGGAGCTTGAAGGGCTTCTTGGAGGATTTTATCATCAATTGAACAAAAGGAAGATGCAAAGGGGAATGAACAAAATGCAAAGAGAATAAAAGAGTATTGGCAAAAGGTTGAAACAGAGTTGTCTAATATTTGTAGTGACATCATGGCTGTAATCGATGAGCATTTGATTCCTTCCTCATCTGGCATTGAATCCACTGTGTTTTTCTACAAAATGTAAGTTCTCTTTGGAGAGTTAGAACTTCACATGCCTCATATGCTTGGTGCTCTTGAGTTGTCTAAGTTTGTTTTTCGTTTGAGTTTTTGCATTTGTTATATTGTTGTAGGAAAGGGGATTACTACCGGTATTTGGCAGAGTTTAAGAGTGGCAGTGACAGAAAGGAGGCTGCTGAAGAATCTTTGAAAGCATATCAGGTATAAAAGATTTCAATTTCGTGGTAGGAATTATTGTGCACGCAATCAAAAGGTGGCCTTATTTCAATTTGATGTGAAGCTGAGAGCCTGCTAGCTTCAGTTTTTTACGATGTTTCTTCTAACATTGCATTGCGGGCACTTATTAATTGTCAATTATGTATAATGTTCTTAGATACTTGTGCCATATTATTCTAGTTAGTTTATACCAATGCATGCTGTAACAATTAATAAGTTTTATTTTTTTAATGAAATTTGGGATAGTGAAACGTGCTTTTTTTCTTCTAAATGTATATAAATTTTGCATTGAGGTTCTTCATGGATGTTTCCCGTCCTCTTAGCATATCTGGCAAGTGTTTATAAAACACAGTTGTTCCTCAATGGTTGTTAAATAATTATCTGTATTTAAAGCTAGTGATCTTGTTGATAAGAAATGGATTAGGAAATGTTAAAGAGTGTTTTATCTTGAACTCTATATAAACAACTATCATATGGTACATGAGATTGATACCTTGCTGGGGAAGGGGTTATCTCGACACAATAGATTGTTGATGCTCGAGAAGAATTTAATCTTCAAGGCTCTTTGTATCTACTCCCTTATTTGCAACATTTAATTGCAGGTTGCCAATACATCATCTGAGTCTGATTTACCACCCACACATCCCACCCGTTTGGGTTTGGCATTGAACTTCTCTGTTTTCTATTTTGAAATCATGAACTCTCCAGAAAGGTACACCAGATTTTATTCGCTCTCAATTGTGTTGAGAGATCCTTTCGCTTTTTTGGAAATCCGTATGAAGTTACTTGACATGTTGCTTTGTATTACAGGGCTTGCCACCTTGCTAAGCAAGCATTTGATGAAGCTATCTCTGAGTTGGATATACTGAGAGAAGAATCTTACAAGGACAGTACGTTGATTATGCAGCTTCTTAGGGACAATCTCACCCTTTGGACTTCTGACATCCCAGAGGATGGAGGCAATTTCTCTTCTTATTG